ATTTTGGTTTCCTATAATAGATGGTTAAATATTAGATATAAAAAATATATACCTCAAGTATCAAGTTAAATATTGAGTATGAAGGTTTATACCTACATATTTAATCTATATATTTGAGCCATACTAATATATATGTAAAGGATAATATATATCAATCTCAACTTTAAAAAAATAAAAATTTTAATCTTAAATAATATCATTTAATTTAATTAAAATTCAATTTAAAATTTAAAAATTTATCTTACTAAATATTGGTATCTGAATTTAAAAACTAATTATATATTTTAATATATTTAGTTTTCAAATTTAGATATCAATGTTTAATGATATGGATATTTAAATTTCAAATTAGATTAAAATGATAGTTTAAAGTTAGAATTTTAATTTTTTTAATCAAAATTGATATGCATCTTCTATATAAAGTTTATTGGGCTAAAATATGCATTTAGCCCTTCATTTTTATAAATTTGAAGTTTTTTTGACTCTTACCTTATATTATAAAGCTTTTAGCCCATAAATTTAAAGATTTGAAGATTTTAACCCTAAACTAAAAAAATCTATTAACTCTCCATTGAAATGAGAATAAAATATTTACAAAATTAGTTCTCAAAGATTAAAAATATAACAATTTAGTTCTAAAAGTTTAAAAATTAAAAAAATAGTAAATAAAAAATAATTAGTGAATGATTTTACCATATACACAAGAACAATATTAGATATCTACAATCAAATCGAATGATTAGCTCAATTTAATAAAAGAAATCTAATAAAAATTAAAGAAAATTTATTAACTATATTTTTTTAGTTTCTTGGATTTTTTATTTTAACTCAACTAAGAAATTTTCTTTAATTTCAGTCAAAATTTTTTTTTCAAATTAAGCTAATTGCTTGATTTGATTATAAATATCTAATATTATTCTAGTGTATGTGAAAAAATTATCTATTAATTCTTTTTAGTTTACTAGTTTTTTTTAATTTTTAAACTGTTAGAACTAAATTATTATATTTTTAATCTTTGATAACTAATTCTGTAAATATTTTATTCTCATTTTAATAAAGAGTTAATAGATTTCATTAGTTTATAAATTAAAATCTTCAAACCTTTAAGGGTTAAAAATTTCATAATATAAGGTAAGGGGTTAAAATCTTCAAATATAAGATAAAGAGTTAAATGCATATTTTAGCTTATTTATTAAAGATAAGCACTTATTAAATGTCTTATTTGCCCTTCTTTATCATTCATTACCCTTTTATTGTTTTACAAACTGCAGCTGTAAGGAAAAAAAATTGTTGCATAAAAAATGTAATTGTTAATATAATCAAAGATTAAAAGAAAAATAAAAAATCAATGCTAAAATTTTTAATAGAATGAACATTAAAGCACAATAGTATGTTTGGATTAAGAAGGCTGGAGGGGAGGAATGATCTTTTGACCAATTAAATTCTAATATTTAAAAAGTTATAATTTGATTAGTTAAAAATTTCTTCAACCTAACATACCATAAATGTATGTAAAATGATACTCTCCTGTTCTAGAATAACAGATTTTTTTATTTGAAATTTGTTTGAAAATAATAGTTATTTTTTTATATTTTAAGATAGACAAATATTTTTTTGCAATGCTAGATAATACTACATAAAGTTATACTTTTACAATTATAACATGTAACTA